GTTCGCCTCAGCGTCACAGACAAAAGAATGTAAACATTCTAAAGATTTTTGCTCCTGATTTTGTGTGCTCCTCTGCAAGGAGCTTCGGATCGGTTTCTCTCAGGCCTGGGGCTTCCTAATTTTCTTTTTCTCTTCCAAGGCTGACATCCACCTCTCTCTCCAACTACAACTTTCCTTTCTTAATTGCCCCTCTGACCAGTTCCACCATGATACTATTCTTGAATGCACTCACATATGTAGATCTTGTCTAACCAAGTAAACTGTAACCACCACAAAGAAAAAGCCTTGTCTTCTTTTAATATTTTGAAATTACAGTTTACATTTGATAGTATCTTGTATTAGTTTCAGGTGTACAGCATAGTGGTTAGACATTCACATAATTTACGAAGCGATAGCACCCACCTGGCCCTATACATAGTGATTACAATATTATTAACTCTATTCCCTGTGCTGCACTTTACATCCTCGTGGCTGTTTTGTAACCACCAATCCGCACTTCTCAACCCTTCACCCGAAAAAGCCATGTCTTCACCTTTGTTTACACCCAACACAGCCACTATTGTCATTTGCCTTACGGTAGTCTGACAACTCCTGTGTTCTTTCAGTTACACTATGTAACTGCATATGCTAAATCCAACATTTATCTCATAACCACTTTGCAGGGGTGAAGAGGAGGGTATCTTAAACATGCATGTTGAGTATAAGGTTCATCTTGCTTTTAGCAGGGTCCAAATATTCTAAATACACAAACGTATGCACTCACGTGTATGCTCACAGTACATCTATGCATTGAGGAGATACGGAACTGACTGGAATACTGGTTTCGTAAGTTTACTTATTAACACTGCCCAGCATGAGATCATTTGTTTTGGTTTTTTATAATGTCAGCCCATTAGCATTTTTCCAATAACATGCACTGGTGTGAAATGGCGTTGGCCAAGAGAGAAAGAGTTCCTGCAGTTGGGCCTTCTGTGCTTTTGGGGACCATTGCATTCGGGTGGTGACTTCGAATTAGCGAAGACCGTCGACCCCCGAACACTCACGCGCAGTCGATGGTAGTCCACACACCGGGGCCGCCCCTCCTCCTCCCTCTCCCCGCCAGCCGGGGGTCCCTGGGCTTTGTCCCGCCTGAAGGCATTCGGGGTGCGGTTATTTCTGTTGGAACTGCTCTCCTAGCCCTCTCTTCCAAACCGCTCCCCTCCTGAGGGCATCTCGATGAGCCCTCGGTTTAAATAAGACTTGCTCAAGGAAACCTGGGTCAAGTTCCCAGTTGTGCCTTTTCTGTCAGCTGCCCGCTGTTTCGCAACGTGCTCTACAGCTGTTCGCTGAGTGCCCAGCAGAGGCCACGCCCTGTTCCAGGCCCTGGTGGAAAAGCTGTGAGAAACAGCAAAAGCTCTGTCTCAGGGACCTCACATTCCAGCGGGATGGTGGCAGTGCACATTAGGAGGGGATGTGCCTTGTGCACACTACGTATCGTATCTAATACTTTCAGGAAAAGTAGGGGACAGCAACTGTCACTATATTTACTTTCCAAAGGAAATGCAGGCTTAGGTTAAATGTCAGGTCACAAAGCTGGTAAGGGCCAGTCCAGTTAGGCCTCCTGGCGCCCAAGTCCCGCCTCTCACTCTATGTTGCTGTGGTACATCTGGGCGCGAATGAATGAATTTCTCATTATTTCCGGAGCTCTTGATTTTCTTCTTGACCAATCGCACAATCCAAGGTTTGGAGTGATAGGCATACCATTCAGGCAAAGTCATGATTTGGAAATTCAGAACTCTAAATGCATTGATACGGCCACAGTATTCTTTTGTCTGACTCCATCCTTCTCTTCAGAAAGGACATGGGAGAAGGCAAGCTTAAACTCATTATTTTACCTGTTCTGGGTTTTGGTCCCTGGTTTCTGGTCAAGTAAGGCCATGAGGAAAGAGTATTGGCGCATTTGGGACCACTTTATATGCTGGAAAAGTATGCAAGGGAAATCTCGGTGGGTAAAGAGAAAGGCATACAAACCATTTAAAGTCAAAATGTATATCTGCAATTCTGCTATGGCTGAACCCATTACAACATCTTTGTTCTCTGCTGTGTTCTTCGGGGATGAGACGCAGATGTTGCTGTATTGGGTTACGTAAGACCATTAGCCTGTTTGAAGTGTCTTCTGTTTACTTCCTTTTTTTCTTTTTTCCCCCCGACTTTCCTTTTATTTGTCTTGGGGAGTTCTCCCATTGTGTTATTTTGACAAAGGCACTCAGTAACATTTTTAATGGATTTAAAGCAGCTTATGCAACAGCACACAGATCTATTGGGGGGAGTGGATGAAATGAAAGAACCCCTGAGTTGAGGTCAGAAGAGACTCAGGGAGCAGTGTTTAAGATCCATTTTTTGTCCATTATGGCCTTCCCGGATCATGCTGTTCCACGGAAGGACATGAGCCTTTGATCAGCTCGGCCAAAAGACCTAATTGCTCTTCTGTTCAGGGTCTGTTCAGCGCAGACTAATGGCCCTCTGGCCAGGTCAGGTTGACAGGGGCATTTGGGCCCCCACAGCTTAAGAAAAAATGGACGAAGTTGCCAACATTAAAAATTCAGATTATTTCACACAAAAGTCAGGTTTTCTGGCTTCTCTTGAACAATCAGAAGCTGTGGCCACGTTGGGCTGATGGGCCCCCGTGTGACTACCTGGCTAGGGCTGACTGGCGGCCGCTGCCCGGTAGCCATGCCCCGACTACCCCGCCTTGTGGTTTGCCTGAGCCACTCCGCTCATTCACCTCTGTCTAAACGCTGGGTGCATTTGAGATCGTGACCCCTGGTCCTTTCTGTGAGTGGCAAGTGGTGTGTATGGTATGTGTGTGTGTTTGTGTGAGTGTGTGTCTTCCAGATCCTTAGGTGGAGGCGGCGGCAGCGGGGAGGGTCTACTGTTGGTGTACTTTAAAGAAGAATGCTTGATGTTACAATGGTTTTGATTTCATTTGCTTTTGATCACAGTAATTATTTAGAGATTCAAATGTCTTTAAAGGAAGATTGTAGATTCATTATGTTTATCAAAAGCAGACATTGGATAAAAAAGTGATTGTCAAAGAGTAGTTCTTGCCAGCTAGCAGGTCATAATACAGATAAAGCATTTCACTACTAGTGTTAAAAATAAGGTAGAATAGAAAACATCAGCATGTTTTAAGTTGATAATAAATAAATATATAGACTGGCTCATAATCTAAACTACATTTATTACTGTGGATTGCAGTTGCACTTTAAGAGCCACTGGGCTGTCAAGTTTGAGAAGTAGCGTTGCAGGGATTGATATTAAACAATCAGCTACTCTGTTTCTGGATAACAGGTATCCTCATCCTTTCTAGAACCAAGGTTGGCGTATAAGTAAGTAAGTAAATGATAACCTTGGCCATAGGAAAAACAGAGGGCCACTTCTTCCTCTTAAAGAATCAAATGAGGCTACTTCCTCTGCGATTGTATTTCCATATGTGATGGAAAAAGGAGGTGTGAAAAACATCAGACCTTGCAGAATTGGGCGTCCAATTTGTGTGGTGGCCTCAATGAGGAGGAATAGCAGTGAGTGTTGAGGTACTTCAAGAAACAAAGAGGACTCGAATGAAAGGCATTAGTTCTTGGTTTTTCATTCTTCATTGGGTTAGAAGGGCCTCATGATGTAGTTCTTTATGTTAGCTTGCTGAAAGAGCCATCTGCTTTTTTTTTTTTTAATTTGCTTCTTCACCCATAGCCCATATTCGTGAAATTCAAGCTAGGCAGGTTGTGACCATTATGTACACTGTGCTCTATATGTGCTGAGAGCTGCCATATGGCGGTGGCATTGGGCCAACTGTGGGAAATTAGATAGGGAGGAACCTTTCTATTTTTACTGCATTAATTGCATAGACTGGGCTAGAAAAAATAATTAACAGCAGTTTGGGTCAAAAATTTGCTTGGTTTCCATGTTGTGTGAAGCAGTTCTTCAGATGTGAGCAAAACTCAGGCACTGAAGCCAGTATTCAGCTTTTCAGAGATGCTGAGATAGGAGTGGATTGTGTCTAGAATAATTAGGTTCTTTAAAATAAATAAACAAGAACAACCTCTTAGTGTACTGTCAATATATGTATATATCAAAAATCAGAACTTTAAAAGCATCCTTGCATATAATTTTGCCCATGTCTTTAAAAATACTTAGAGTAATTAAACATATTGGGTAAGTGTGTATTATGCATGTATATGTACACACATTCAAGTATGTTTAGCAATTAAAACACATGTATTTGCCTCTTGCCTAATCATGTGTACTGTTTTCCCTTATTCGTGGAATTCAGTTCTGGTTCAACAGTCTGAGCTGGGGGTGATCTTCCTCTTAATCCGTAACATTAATGATCAAGCCCACAGGGCATCCCGAGGGAAGCTTCTCGTATGTTCCAAATGTTAATTCAGCACAGTCATGGTCATTAAAAAAATTCTTACCTGCATTTGATCCATCACATTAAGTGGAAGCTGGGGTGTCATTCGATCTATGACTTTGGAGATGAAAGAATCCTTCAAGCATTGTCTGTAAGGAGAATTAGACCAGAGCCAGAGAGTCCTCGAATCCTTTGTTTCACCTCCGAGCTGAATGGCATAGATGCTGACGGGTCTCAGATTCCTGGACTTAAGGCAAAAGAAAGCAGTCAACAGGACCCTCTTCGAGAATCGTAAAGCGAAGTGCAGGGATTATGCTAAAAATCAAGAAACGGTCTTTTGTTTATTTAAATTAACTTTCTACTTTGTTTCTTGACCAAAAAACAAACAAACAAAAATAATCAACACTGTATTAGCCTAGAGTGTTTGGCCCATATTAATAGCCATTCGTTGGAAATTGGACTCTCCTTAAGTTCGTTTAGCAAATGGGCATGCACATCCCCATCTCGTACAGAAGCAATGGGTCTCGTTTCCTGGGGGATGTCCTGGGCTCTCGGGCATGGAACGTCCAGGGGCCGGACTCTCAGAAGCTCTTTGTCTTTACTTTCACAGGATGTGTGAGACTGGCGAAGGGCTGTTTATCTTTCAGACGCGAGATGGGGAGGCCATCTACCAGAAAGTCCACTCTGCTGCCCTGGCCATCGCCGAGCAGCATGAGCGCTTGCTGCAGAGCGTGAAAAATTCCATGGTACGTGCAGCATTTCCTCCTTGGGACGGGCGGGAACCGCGCCCGCAGCGGCCTGGGAATCTGTGTGCCACAAGCTCCGGCCGGCGGTGTTTGAGCAGGTGGTTCACTCTTGTCCTCCACTGCGGACTACTCGGATTAAATGCCATCCTGGGAGAGGCTGAAGGAGCCAGCTGCTAACACTGTAACCTCCTTGTCCATTTTGTGCGTCAGTTATTGTAGGTGTGCACCTCAACCCTCTAACTGATACCATAGACTAGATCATTTATACACCACAGATACTTATTTCTCACGGGGAGGCTGGGGAGTCCAAGATCAAGGTGGTCTGTGTCTGAGGGGCCCACTTCCTGGCTGCCTTTTCTCTCTTACATTACTGAAGAGATGAGGGATTGCTTGGAGGTTTCTTTATAAAGGCACTGTGCCCTCAGGACCTAATCATGTCTCATGGGCCCTGCCTTCTAATACCTTCCACTTTGAGGTAAAGATTTCAATGTATGAATTTAGGGGAGACTTCATCACTGAGTCTGTTGCAGGGAGTGTGCATATTAAAATCGATTTGGGTGTATATGGACTTCTGTAGACACAACTATGTGGGTTATCTACCTGTAGATATATATTTATAGCTGTATCAGAAGTTGTGATTTCCACAGTCAGCGGGGGTCAGAAAAAACATATAAGTGAGAGAAGAGGACGGAGCGGACACTAGAGTGAAATGTCAAAGGCCCAAGACCCAACAACGGTTGACATGAGACTGTGGACTTAATGTAGGAGATCCTGTGATTTTTTTTTCCCCAGAGAAGCTGAGGATTTGAGTCTGTATATAACATCTCCCAGTCTGTAACTGTAGGAAATGAATTCTAGTTAAAACCAACTGCAAAATAATCACAACTAGTGGGCCAAAGAAAACATGTCTGTAGACTCTGTCTTGCTCATAGACGTGCATTTGCAACCTCTGGTTGATAAACCTTCATAGTCTTTCATGTATCAAGATACCACAGACACAGTTACATGTGAGCACCCACAAGTGCCCTTTCAGAACACCCACCCTGACCATTGCATTGTGCTAGGTACTCTGAATCGTACAGAGGATCATGATTTCGGACTTTCTTCTTTAAGGAGAATAAATTCACAAAATCATAAAGGAATGCAGAACCGTTCAACAATGCAAATCATGCATTGTGGCTGCAGACACATACAGAGAGCTGCCCATCTGGAAGGAAATCTGCAAAACCGAAAGGAACTGGGTTGGCACGCTAGGATTAGGGTAGTTTGAAAATTGATGATGGAGACATGTGGGGTGGTTGGATTTAAAGAGTGGGAAAAGCCTGCCAGCTATTGATGTGACCTGCCCCAAAGCAGCTCTAGGTTATTCCCAAATGACCTTCGCATTCATTGCTCTGGGATTTTAGAACAGGAATCAAGCACAACTTTCTGTGAAGGGCCAGAGAATAAAGGCTGTAGGTTTTGTAGATGAAGATGGTCTCTTGCAACCCCTCAGGTAAAGCAACCGTAGGTAAAATGTCGTCAACTGAGTGTGGCCATGATCCACAAAAACTTTTATTCAAATTTCATGTAATGTTCACATTAGTGAAATTTAAAAAAAGATCCTATTATTTTATTTTTAGACAGAGGCAAAAGGACAGAGAAAGAAAGGGAGAGAAACATCAATGTGCGGTTGCCTCTTGCACACCCCCTACTAGGGACCTGGCCTACAACCCAGGCATGTGCTCTGACTGGGAATTGAACCAGCAACTCCGTGGTTCACAGACCAGTGCTCAATCCACTGAGCCACATCAGCCAGGGCTGAAATATTTTTTTTTATTTCCCCTCCCAATAATTTAAAAATGTTCTTTTTGAACTAATGCAGACTTGATGTTTATTCCCCTACATGCTTACCAATTCTGGATATTACCACAGAGATAGATAAATGGGTGGATGGACAAATAGCTGGCTGGCTGAATGGAGAGATGGATGGACAGATAGATAGATATTAGCTAGCTAGCTCTAAAGTTGACTTCAAGTCACTTTGAATTTATAGAACAACATGTAATTTGCATTAAAGTTGTGTAGCTAGCCATGAGATGCCTCAAACATCTGAGGAGATTTTTTGAAGGTTCCTTATTTGCAAAGCCATCAATTAGCATAAATTGTTGTGTGCTTGAAAGGCAGGCTCTGCACGCACATGTTTTTCCATTTACAACCTTCTCATTACTTCCGCTAAAAATTAATCAGAATTATGAGTAATTTGTTCAGATCATCCCCTTGCAAATTTAACTGGAAAATAACGTTGTTTGCTCTTAATTTGCTGTATGCTAAATGAGTTCTGTAAAATGAATGTCATTTTAAAGCAACAGCATCCTGTTTTAGATGGAAATGAGTTAGCTTCCAAAAGGATCTGAATCTCAAGGAAGTTAAACTGGGGATTGTGAAACGCTTCAAAGAAACGCACTTGAGTCAATTTCTGATTGGGGAGAAAGGAGAGCGTGTGCTAAAATGAACCAAATGACAACAATATGACTGCCCACCCTCCCTGGGTTACAGTTTTGAGATTTCTGGTCATTGGGAATGGATCCACACAGATCTGGCTGGATTCTCACGTAGGAGTTGCCCTGAAGCCACAGCTGGCTTGCCTCCCTGAGACAGTCAAGGTCATAGATGGAGAATGATGGTGAAGTGTGAACCTCTGGGCTTAGCCCCGTTATTAGGAAGCCCTAACCCACTGTTAGCTGACTTCATCTACAGACAGAACCCTTGACTGTGGGACCCATGCCAGTTTGACGTTGTAGCCTTGAGTGAGTAGGTTTGGGTTGGACTTGTGACCTTGCGTCCCAGAGCTCACAAAGAGGGAGCTTGTGGGTTGGGCAATAATAATAGCAAGAATTATTCTTGTGGCCGGCAGTCTAACGGCTCCCCAGCGATGCCCACACCCTAATCCTTGGAGCCCGTGACTATTACAGACTGGGAGGTGTTATGTACAGAGTCATATCCTTGGCTTCTCTGGAAAAGAAAATCAAGGGATCTTCTACAATTCTCCCCATGTAGATCTCCACACAAGAGATCTCCACACTCTCATGGCAACAATCATTGGTCTTAGGCTTTGGAAGTTGCCCTGTCGTAGTCTGCTGATTAAAAGTAGGTTACAGTCAGAAAAGGGGATCCAGTGGGCATGAACACCGGGACGAGAAGATCAATGGGCCACCTGTCTGTCTTCACACCATGCAAACTCCTGGGGTCATGTTTACTTAGTGCTTTGATATTATCTTTTTGATACTTTTTCTACTTTATGGTGTTTTGCTAATAATATTTATTTGTGGAACATCTGCCATATGCCAGGCTCTTTAGTAATTAATAGTCTCAGCGATCTCTCAAGCCTCCTACAGTATGCCACATACTTTCCTTGCTTTTTCTCTGATCACTGCAATATCTCTGTGAGGTAGATTCACTCTTTATTCTCATTCATTTGTTCACTCAAAACTGTTCATGGAGGACATGAGATGCTCTGTTATGTGCTGTGGGGTAGCATGGTGATTGACAGGTGAAGCCCATGCTCCCCTGGGGCTTACGATTCAAGAAAATTTTATTCATGGCTCTTGACATGGAAGGAATCACTGTCCCTGTCATATAGATGAGGAAACATGCTCAGAGTGGCTAAGTCCCTTGCCTGCAGCCATAGAGCTCATGACTATTGGCGCTAAGAACGCAGGGTCATTGTCTTGCGTTCCTAAACTTCTACCTGTGGCCACAACACCGCAGCCCCCGGAAGAGTCGTATCCTCGCTGAGAATTCTATCAGCGTTTCCAAATTACCCTGAAAACTCTTCAGAATATCAACTTAGAGTATATCTAAAAAAATCACTGTTCCAGGAAATCCCATTTCTTTGGGCAGTTTTGGCACCAGAAAGCAATCTGGTGGTTCTCCCCACCTTCTCGCTTTTGAAACTCAGTTGTATTATTATTCGCTCTGAAGGGGGTGCTAGACGAAGGTGGGGTGAGCCTGGACTAGGGGAGGCCTCCCTGTCGAACAAGGTGGACCAGCTGCCAGCTGCCTTGCTAGAGGAGCTGCCCAGAGACAGCGGGGACAGCTCCGGGCTCCCTGGGGCAGCCGCTATTTTTGCCACCTTGGAGATCAGTGTCTCTGACAAAGTCTAATTTTGGAACAAGGAGTGGCGGTGTGTGGGATGGTCCTCATTCCACGACGGGGCCTGTCATTTTTAGAATTTCTTTAAGGCGAGGGCGACACAGTGGAGGAGGATTGCAATTTAACAGGCTCTTCCCGGGGCTGTGGGAAAGGGGAGCCCCCTGGGGTGGGGGTGTCGGCCCCACGGTGATGTCTCCCTGTCGTCTGGCTGTGCACAGGTTTGAGAGTGAAATCTGAACAGTTTTTCACCGTGGTCCCCTCTTTTTTGTTGGTTGCTTTAATTGACGTATTTTCTTCCAAACTTGGTTTTGCAAATCAAATTTGCTAACGAATTTGTAGAATCCAAGCAGAAATCTTCCACAATTCTGGAAATCAAAGGATTTTATAGTCAGTCTCATTTAAAAAGCAATATGCTACCCAACTTTTTTAAATACAGAGGGCATCAAAGAAATAAGAACATGAATTTCATTACTGTTCAGACACTGAAATAGACCCTTGCATGCCGGACACACACACACATGCATGCACACACACGCGCGCACATATATATATTCCCTCTTCTTCTCCCACAAAAAAGATATGTTTTTAACTTTCTCTTTATGGGCTCTGGTTAATTGGGATTTTTTTTCTTCTTCTCTTTCTTTTTATATTGCTTAAAGCAATTATCAGCTTTTTCCTTTTCCTGAATTAAGCCCTTTTTACATCCTGGTATATTAATTACCCAAAAAGCTTTTTAACAAACACCTGTCTATTACTTGCATAGCAATGTGGTAGGTCTTATGGAGAATACAAAATAAAGAATAAAAGTCCTTTGCATCTTTAAAGGGAGCTTAAAACTTAGATAGGGAGTCAGGGTTTATATTCCT